AATAATCTTCTTTCACCTTTACAAGTATCCTAGTGTTGCAACTCAAGTAGTCCAGTGCAGCAAGGGTCTTTACCCACTAAGTCATCTCATTGGCATTTTGGGATATTGAATTTATTGGTTTCCTGACCTTAAGAATTTTGATAATCTTTAATTTTATTTAACTCAGTTATATTCACATTGTATGTTCTTAAACTTCAACTCTCAAAAAACCTTTTGCAACATACTTTAATCTTTTAGTTTCTTTTCTTTCATATGTTTCCACTTAGAATAATCCTTTACATTAGGATAAATGGTGGCAAATTCATTTTCACAAAAAAGTGTACCACTGTAATTAAAAACACAGATTAACATCAACTCCTCAATAGTACCTGACTTTCTCCAACACACAGATCACCAAAACTAAATTTAAATTGAGAAATATCAGAATTAAATGACATCATTCACCAAATGTACTTGTAACTACAGCATATTTCATCCAAAATCTAAATAATATACATGAAACCCAGCAGCCTTATGAAGATTCCTAATATAGACCATTTTCTGTGTCAAAAACAAATCTTAACAAATTCAGAAAAATTGAAATGATTCCAACTTTCCTATGTAATAACAATGCAATGGAATTTAATATTGAGTGCAATGAAATCTATAGTCAGTACTCAAACTCATGGATATTGAACAACTCATTATTAGCTGATGAATGTGTCAAAGAAGAAGCCAAGAAAGAAATAAAAGATTTCTGGAACTAAATAAAAATTAAAAGACCGCACAACAAAACAACTAGGACAAAAGGCAAAGCAGTCCTATAAGGGATTGTACAGCTCAAAATGCCTACATTTAAAAGTCAGAAAAATACCAAAAATGACTTAGTGATGCAGCTCAGATTTTGGAAAAAAATCAAATCCAAACCCTTCTATAAATCAAGAAAAATAAAAACCAGAGAAAACTAATGAAGTAGAAACAAATACATAGAAAATAAACCAAAGGATGAACTAATCAATGAAATGGCACAACAGACCCTTGCTCCAACTAACCAAAGAAAGAAAAAAAATGACCCAAATTAACAGAATCAGAAATTACCTGAAGCACTCTACATCAAACACCAAAGAAATGAATAGTGTTTAAGGGAACACTTTTAAAGCTCTACTTCATAATCCTGAAAAACAGAAGAAATGGATAAATTTCTAGATTTATCAAAGCTACCAAAGTTAAACCAAGACAAGACTAGTAACCAAGAATACCTAATACAAATAAGCATATTTAAATAGTAATAAGACAACCAGTTTGAGAACAAATATGAATAAAATAAACAAGGGAGGAAACGAATCTGTGAGGAGTTTGGGGAAGTTTAAATAAACTCCAGGGAACCATGCTTGAAACACGGATAAGTTGTACATTTTCTCACAAATACACATAAAAAGATATTAAATCTACAGATACAGCAACAAGTCATTAACCCAAATATACTGAATAAAGAAATTATGATATAATATGACTAGAAAGATTAAGATACCATTTAAGTCTTTAAGCATATTTTCAAATTACTATTGAAACATAATTTTAAGCCAGAATAGTAACTTAACTTGGAATGACAAATTCTAACAATTTCTGTTTCTGTGTACATACTATGCAAGCAGTTAGCATATGCTTTCCCAGTTTATCCCTAGGATATTCCAGAAATTATAGAATATTTACATATTTGAACACAATTTGCAATGAAATTAGTCTAACATGTTTTCTTAGTCATAGGATCTGTCTGCATGAATTGAATCTGAATATCGACTTTGTCACAAGACCACCACATCAACCTGTGACAAGGAACATAGAATTTCTCTCTCAAACAGTGTCTCAGAATATCAGTTGTGTAGTCCTTTGGTGTCCAAAAGTTTTTAAAGAGGGACTATGGTACATATTGCCTAACATCCCTACAAATCATAAGCCATATTCTGAAATAATTTTTTATACACAGCTCTCCTTAGTCTATTTTCAGGTATTCTATGATTACAGGAGAGGTGATTATCATATATTTATTTCTCTAAGTTCAAAACTAAGTTACTAGGACCAGCTAAGCCAAGGGAAATGGCCAAGACTTCATCTCAATAGATTTGCACATGAGGGATCAATTAGAAGAAAAAAGAGAAACATCTAAGGTTTAGTGATCCAAGATTGTGCATATAAAATACAGCATTTGACATTTTGTCTTTCATCACTATAACATGTGAGAAATGGAAGTGAAATGTTCTGTGAGCATCATTCAATGGAATAACTGGTAAAAAAAAAAGATATTCAGAACAAGCAGTGAAACTGTTTTGGGAAAGAATGGAATTCTTTCTGGTTTTATCATAAATAAGATGACTAGTAAACAATTCTTGAAAATTTCTTTCCAGAGAACTTGGTAGGCAAAAAAAGGGAGAAATGAGTTTTGGACTGAAATATTTGAAAGATGATCTTGTGGTGTACATGACAGTCTATGTGAGCAGAGAGGTATGTTGAAGCCTTTCTAGGAACAACAGACTGTCATCAGGCAACAATCTCATGGTAAGTGTACTTTCTCTCACAAACACAAGAACTTTGGACAAGGAGGGACCAGATGACAGGGGAGCTGTTCTGGTATGGTTTTCTTGTCATAAGGAATCAGTTTCTCCTGAATGAAGACTATGAATTTTCACTACCAATTAGAAACAAAAAGTGGGCTTAAATGCAAGTGGGGCAGCATAAATGTGTTTGAATTGTATAATGTATTTTTGAAAGTTGCGAACATAATAAGTGGCTGAATGTTTTCTGGTATTGAGGCTTCTCAAAAGCAAAGAGCAAAACAGAGCAAAGAGATGGACACTTCTTGAGGACCTGATATATGCTGAATGCAAACAACTCATTGAAGTTCATGTTCTTGGATATCAAGAGGGAGTTTTAAGTCTAAGTAGTGACTCTGATGGTCAGTTTCCTCTTTGGTCTAATGCTCTGTAGATTTCTTGCTATGTGTCCTGTTGTGTGTGTAACCTGTAACTTTTGCTAAATTAATGTAGCATTCTGCATTTGTAGCATTCCTGTATAATATGACTCTTCATGACAGAGTTTTAAACAACTCTATACTATTCATGTCTTCTGGAATAATCAAGGGGCACACTAATAGTACATCTGTCTTGAGTCACTGGAAGATTTTAAGGTTAAAATGTGGTTAAGAATATGGTTCTTCCCATGTCTCTGGTGTGTTCAATAACGTCCAGACCAAATAAAGAAATTGTCTGGAAATAAGGTAAAGATCTTTGACTGTGACTCAATGTCTGAAATCCTAAACTTCAATCCCAAATATCTGGCTAACTAAAAATAGCTATTTCCTAATACTATCTGTCAAAATGACAGTTTCTATCATTGGAAAAAAATAATTACTACTGTAACTGTCATCAAAGTGTGTTTATAAATGACTAATAAGTGATCTAGGAGTACACACCTGTGCATTCCTTTCTTAGAAATCAATCATGTGGAGCTGGAGAGATGGCTAAGTGTTTATAAGCACTGATCATTTTTACAGAGACCTGGGTTTAATGCCCGGCATGCACATGGCAGCTCACAACTGTAACTCCAATGTCTTATCTAATACCCTCATACAGACATATGTTCTGGGAAAACATCAACGGACATATGATTTAAAAACAAAAAGGAAATCCAACATGTGAAATGTTAGTTTTGTGCAGACTGTGTCCAAAGCTTGATACTGGAAACATCTCCTGAGAGGATGACTGGAATGTCCCTTCTATTACAGCTAAACCAGTGTTTAAAAAAGTAAAAGTGTCCTTAAGAGGTTCCTCTTTATTCAGAAGGCATGGTAGGGAAGATTAGATTTGCAACTTGTCAGCTTTGTCATAATAACCCATTGTCTGCAATGATGATATTTCATTCATTTCAGCAGGCACACTGGTTAAGAGTCTGCTGTAAGTATCTTCTGTGCAGTGAGTAAAGGTCAATGAATCAACAGGTAGGCACCCCACTGTCCTAACACACTCAGGAGACAATAGTTTTGAGAGATGGGACTGTTTTCAAATCCACAAAAGTCACCAGATCTTATTCCCTCTAACTGGTCTTCTCTTCATGGTCCCCACAGTAGCTCCATTCTGAACAAAAGTATCCAGTATGAGGTCTAGAAATGTACCTAACAGCACATCTCATTGTTGTGCCATCTTATACATATCAGAATGCAAGTTGTTAGGTTATACACAATTAATCACTCCTCTGCCCTCCTTAACAACACTTCTGCTTGTTCTCATCAACTATCCCTTCCCTGTTGCTCACAATATTAAATAAGGAACTTAACAAAGACCTCTTTATATGATACCTGTACAAGAATTTAGAAGCAGGGAACATGTTTTGTTGGCATGAATTTATCATAGTGATTTTTCTGTATGCTTTATATCTCTGTCAAATCATAAGTTTTTATTTTAAGAAGTAGTGAAGGTGCACAGGATGCTTATCATCCCAATTTTTTCTGTGCCTAGTAGTAGTCCTATGTACCTACCATGTCCCTGCCTATGTATTCCTCACTGCCATTCTTTCTTCATTAGAGAATGGTAAAAGTATATTCTCAAATATTATGTAACAAATTTCCTTTTTCAAAAAATTTGTACTCACCACTGACATATGAAATGCCAGTCAATTAGTTACTCTATGTGAATAATCACCACAAACTAATCTTTGCTGTCCTTTATTTTGATCCATGGGATGTGTATAGTATAGGACCAGTTGAGTTGAGGAATGATGGCCAGAAATGACAGTCTTACAGAGGATGGGATAACAGAAGACATGGAGGAATGCAATCTATACTTAATTATGTTAAACAATGGGCTCATGTGGAGCTACAAGTAATAAATGTGTTAGCTATTTGACTCATGTTGCAACACCTTTGAATTGAGAAGGTGGCAGGAAGTAAGTGGAAAGGAATATTCAGGTCAGATTTCAAAATAAGCCCAAGAGAATGGCAGTGTTCGAAGAAGAATTCAGTATAAGTATCCGTTATAAGCTAGGTCCTCTCTATTCTCCTGCCCTGTTTCATACAGTGATGTGTTTCACTTTTAGGTCCCTATTCAAGAAAGATAAAGCAATGCATTTTCATGGAGAAATGGAATCAGAGCTCAAGTGATTTCACTTTGATAGGGTTGCTTCCACAAAATCAGACAGGCCTTCTTCTTTTGCTGCTCATCATTTTTGCCTTCTCTATGGCTTTGTTTGGCAACTCAATCATGATCCACCTCATTCGTGTGGACACTAGGCTGCACACCCCCATGTACTTTCTCCTCAGTCAACTGTCTCTCATGGACCTGATGTACATTTCTACCACTGTTCCCAAGATGGCATTCAATTTCTTCTCTGGCCAGAAAAGCATTACCTTCCTCGGCTGTGGAGTGCAATTATTCTTTTTCGTGACTATGGCATGTTGTGAGGGCTTGCTCCTAGCCTCCATGGCCTATGACCGTTTTGTTGCCATCTGTCACCCCCTTCATTATCCTACTTGCATGAGCAAAATGATGTGTCTGAAGATGATCATAGGGTCCTGGATATTGGGCTCCACCAACTCTTTAGCTCATACAGTCTATGCCCTTCATATTCCTTACTGTCATTCTAGGTCCATTAACCATTTCTTCTGTGATATCCCAGCCATGTTGCCCCTGGCCTGTATGGACACTTGGGTTTATGAGTACATGGTGTTTGTGAGCACAAGTCTATTTCTCCTATTTCCTTTCCTTGGCATCACAGCTTCCTATGGATGGGTCCTTTTTGTTGTCTTCCATATGCGCTCAAAAGAGGGAAAGAAAAAGGCTTTCACCACGTGTTCAACTCACTTAACTGTGGTGACTTTTTACTATGCACCTTTTGTCTACACTTATCTTCGACCGAGGAGTCTCCGTTCCCCCGCAGAAGATAAGATTCTGGCTGTCTTCTATACTATTGTCACTCCCATGCTCAATCCCATTATCTACAGCCTGAGAAATAAGGAAGTCCTGGGGGCCGTGAAAAGAGTCTTTGGGACATTCTACTCCACTAAACATTGATCATTTCTTCTCTACTCATCTCCAGTTTCCATGGAGAATGTCACAGAGGAGTGCTCTTTATTGGAAATGCAATGTGTTCCACGCATATGTTATAAATATCTGGTGATTCATTTCTTGTTAGGTTTAAATGTTATTGAATACTATTGTAATTCCCACATGTTTGTAACAAACTCAATATTATGAGCAGCAAATATCAACAAATTGCTACACTATTAACACAAGGTTCATATACATTGTGAGTATACAAATATTTCTATAAATGGGGTAGAATTTATGCCAAAGATGACAAATTGTTTCTAAAATTTGATATCAAATTATTTCTTTGCTCATATCTTTTGGTTTTATTCTTCAAAAAATATTTTGGATGTTGCATATTTACTATATACATTTCGTGTGACCAATACCCACATGGGAAATTGTGTTGAAAATGGGGCATCATAGAAGTTATGAAATGTTATAAGAACACTGGTTATAAAGTACTACTTCACCTCAGGCAGAATTATTTTCATAAGAAAGACAATAGAGCCTGTCAGTGGTGGTGCAACATGGTTTCAATCCCAGCACTTGGGAGGCAGAAGTAGAAGAATCTCTGTGAATTTTGAGGCCACTCTGGTCTACATAGTTACACAGAGAAACCCTTCTCAGAAAAAAGAAAGGGCAATAGTTATCAAATGCTATTTTATTAGGAAGAATGGAGAACTACTAAAAACAGTTGGACAAAGTGCAAAATAATACAGTCCTTTTAAAAGACAAACATGGAAACTGTCTATGCCCCTAATGGGCCTAAATTTAAAGAGAACAAAGTCAAAGTTTTTAAGAGTTGTATACCTTTATTCCAGTTCTGCTCCTATTAACTAGAATAGATCCTGGTGTGCTATGCCTTAATGGCATAAATATAGTTAAGCATAATATCTCATATAACAATTGAGGCAATGTTGAAGGTATTCATCCTATGAAAGTAAAAACTTCAACTGATAAATTGGCTAGCTACCCTACTTCTGTCATAATACATATATATGTGTGTGTGTGTGTGTGTGTGTGTGTGTGTGTATGCATATACAGGAGATATTATGTAACAACTCATAAGTAAATACAACTATCTCTCACTTAAAACAGCTTTATCATATAGATGAGATACTTTAGAATATATCTGTGATGTACTGAATATTGATGGGAATTAAAGCAATAAAAATGATAGTGCCGAATTGATGATATGGAGAATTATCAGATGTTGCTTTTATCTGTTCCATTATATTTTGGACTATAATTTACATATGTAGGCCATTTCACCCTTCTTTCCAGTTCCATCACACATCCATGCCCTCTTCTTCTATAATTAAAATATTAACTTTGTGTTTCTCATATGTACATGTGTTTCAGACTGACAAATTGTGTCTGGATAACTTATGCACAGTTTGTCACTAAAGAAAAGTGATGCCCCCTCTCTCAATAGCCATTGCTTCTCTCTAGATCTTTATGATAGGATGGGACTTTATGGAATGTCATACTTCATGGTACTATGTCAATTGGTTTGATCAATATATAAATTATTTTTGGAGTCCAGGGAAGCAGCGGTTCCTGCAGCAGCATCAGGTAAACAGGCCGGCTTCCCGGCCTGTGTTCCAGTGTCTGCAGATTGCCTGGGAACTGCACAGAGCTCCCAATCCCGGCGGGAGCCAAGCACCCCAGATTCCATATCTTCTCTCCCACCAACGAGACCAGGAAACCAGAGGAGGCTGGGAGTCCAGGGAAGCAGCTGTTCCTCCAGCAGCATCAGGTAAACAGGCCTGCTTCCCGGCCTGTGTTCCAGTGCCTGCAGATCTCCTGGGAACTGCACAGAGCTCCCAATCCCGACGGGAGCCAAGCACCCCAGACTCCAGATCTTCTCTCCCACAAACGAGACCAGGAAACCAGAGGAGGCTGGGAGTCCAGGGAAGCAGCTGTTCCTCCAGCAGCATCAGGTAAACAGGCCTGCTTCCCGGCCTGTGTTCCAGTACCTGCAGATTGCCTGGGAACTGCACAGAGATCCCAATCCCAGTGAGAGCCAAGCACCCCAGACTCCAGGTCTTCTCTCCCGCCAACGAGACCAGGAAACCAGAGGAGCCAGGGAGACCAGGGGAGTAGATGTTCCAGATCAGGTACAACATGACCCAGCATAGGGTCCAGGGGACCAGGTAGGAGGCTAAGCGCCCCAGATTCCTGTTCTTCTTCTCCACCCATGGAACCAGCATTTGGACAAGGAATAAAAGAACCACCAGATTATTGGACTTGCTAGCACCCACCAAAAGGGAACTCTGGTCCCCAGACCAGTAAGGGGCTCTTTCTGCACCCACTAAAAGAAGAGATGGGAAAGAGACGATACAAAAACACACTCAGCAACAGAAAAACAAATATGACACCGCCAGATTCTAGAGACTCCACACCAGCAAGACCCCAACATACCAATGTGAACGAAGCAGAAGAGAACGACCTTAAAAGCACTTTCATGAAAATGATAGAGGCCCTAAAAGAGGATATAAGAAAATCCCTCAAAGAAATGGAAGAAAAAACAAACCAAAAAATGCAAGAAATGGAAGAAAAAAACAAAGCAAAAAATGCAAGAATTGGAAGAAGAAACATACCAAAAAAGGCAGGAAATGGAAGAAGAAACAAAGCACAAAATGCGAGAAATGGAACAAAAAGCAAACCAAAAAAATGCAAGAAATGGAAGAAAGAACAAACCAAAAAATTCATAAAAGGCAACAAATGGACAAAAAGATGAACAGAAAATTGCAAGAAGCAATGCAAACACTGCAAGGGTTGAAAACTGAAATAGAGACATTAAAAAAAATACAATCTGAAGAAAGGCAGAAAATAGAAAAGCTGGACAAACAGTCAGGCACTACCGATACAAGCATTACCAACAGAATAGAAGAGATGAAAGAGAGAATCTCAAGTGTTGAAGATACACCAGGAGAAATGGATTTATCAACCAAAGAAAACCTTAAATCCAACAAATCCTTAACACAAAACATCCAGGAAATATGGGAAACCATGAAAAGACCAAACCTAAGAATAATAGGTATAGAAGAAGGAGAAGAAATCCACCTCAAAGGGGCAGAAGGCATATTCAACAAAATCATAGAAGAAAACTTTCCCAACCTTAAGAAAGACATGCCAATGAAGGTACAAGAAGCGTACAGAACACCAAATAGAGTGGACCACAAACAAAAATCCCCTCGCCACATAATAATCAAGACCCCAAACATACAGAATAAAGATAGAATATTAAGAGCAGCTAAGGAAAAAGGTCAAGTAACATATAAAGGCAGACCTATCAGAATTACACCTGATTTCTCCATGGAAACTCTGAAAGCCAGAAGGTCCTGGATAGATATTCTACCTACACTAAGAGACCATGGATGCCAGCCCAGACTACTATACCCGGCAAAGCTCTCAATCACTATAGACGGAGAAAAAAAGATATTCCATGACAAAACTAGATTCAAGCAATATGTGTCGACTAACCCAGCCCTACAGAAAATTTTGGAAGGAAAACTCCAACCCAAGGAAGCTAACTACAACCAGAAAAACATAGGCATTAGAGAATCCCTCTCTACCAACAGCCAAAAGAACAAAGGGGTGAAATTCCACACATAATTCCACCACCAACAACCATTGCAAATCGAAGAAGGATGAGCAATCAATGGTCATTAATATCCCTCAATATTAATGGCCTTAACTCACACATAAAAAGACACAGACTAGCAGAATGGATTCGAAGACAGAACCCTTCCTTCTGCTGCATACAAGAAACACACCTCACCCTCAAAGACAGACATTACCTGAGAGTTAAAGGTTGGGAAAAATTTTTCAATCAAATGGACCCAAGAAACAAGCAGGGGTAGCAATCCTAATATCTAACAAACTGGACTTTAAAATAAAATCAATCAAAAGAGATGAAGGAGGTCATTACATACTCATCACAGGTGAAACCCACCAAGATGAAGTGTCTATCCTGAACATCTATGCCCCAAATATAAAGGCATCCAAATTCATTAAAGAAACATTATTAGAACTTAAATCTCACCTAAAGCCCCACACAGTTATAGTGGGAGATTTCAACACACCACTCTCACCACTAGACAGGAATACCAGACAGAAACTCAACAAAGAAGCAAAGGGTCTAATAGAAGTAATTACCCAACTGGGATTAACAGATATCTATAGAACATTTCATCCAAATAAAAGAGAATATTCCTTTTTCTCACCGCCACATGGAACCTTCTCAAAAATCGACCACATACTTGGCAACATATCAAACCTCAGCAGCTACAAAAAAATTGGAATAACTCCATACATCTTATCAGACCACCATGCTTTAAAATTAGAATTCAACAACAACACAAATTACAGAAAACCTACACACTCATGGAAATTGAATAATGCTCAACTGCACCTTCCCTGGGTCAAAGAGGAAATAAAAAAAGAAATTAAAGACTTCCTCGAATTCAATGATAATGAAGACACAACATACCCAAACCTATGGGACACTTTGAAAGCAGTGCTACGGGGGAAATTCATAGCACTAAGTGCTCACATGAAGAAACAGGAGAAGAGTTGTACCAGAGAATTAACATCACAGCTGAAAGCTCTAGAACACAAAGAAGCAAACTCCCCCAGGAGGAGTAGATGCCAGGAAATAATCAAATTGAGGGCTGAAATCAATAAAGTAGAAACCAGGAAAACAATACAAAGAATCAATGCAACGAAGAGTTGGTTCTTTGAGAAAATCAACAAGATAGACAATCCTTTGTCCAAACTTACCAAACAGCAGAGAGTGAACATGCAAATTAACAAAATCAGAAATGAAAAGGGGGACATAACAACAGACTCTGAGGAAATCCAGAGAATCATTAAGTCATACTTTAAAAATCTGTACTCCACAAAATTCGAAAATTTAAAGGAAATGGATGACTTCCTGGATAGCTATCACTTGCCAAAACTAAATCAAGAACAGATAAGCAATTTAAATAGACCTATAACCCCTATGGAAATAGAAGCAGTCATCAAAGGTCTCCCAACCAAAAAAAGTCCAGGTCCAGATGGCCTCAGTGCAGAATTCTACCAGAAATTCAAAGAACAGCTTATACCAATTCTTCTCAAAGTGTTCCACACAATAGAAGCAGAAGGGTCTTTGCCAAACTCTTTCTATGAGGCTTCAATAACCTTGATCCCCAAGACACACAAAGATACAACTAAGAAAGAGAACTTCAGACCAATATCCCTCATGAACATTGATGCAAAAATACTCAATAAAATACTGGCAAATCGGATCCAAGAACACATCAAAACAATCATTCACCACGATCAAGTAGGTTGCAGG